AGTATTGGGATCTTGTGGAAACGTGATATACTATACCCAAAGAAAGTACTATTACGGCTGTGCAGCAACGGAAGCTTGAAGAACTGAAGTTGAAGGATTTGAAGATAAAGAATTACCTATTCTAATCAATTGATAGTGCGATTTTGGAGACTATTTTTCAGAAGGATACTTCCAAGCACATTTGGGACTCCATGAAGAAAAAGTGCCAAGGGTCAGCAAGAGTGAAGCGTGCACAGCTTCAGGCCCTAAAACGAGACTTTGAGACTCTTCAAATGAAGAATGGAGAGTTTGTCACCGAGTATTTCGCAAAGACCATGGAGATTGCAAACAAAATATGAATCCATGGTGACAAGCTTGATGATGGGTCCATTGTAGATAAGATCCTGAGACCTATGGCTCCAAAGATTAACTATATCGTTTGCTATATTGAAGAGTCAAATGACACCGCGGAGATGTCGATTGATGAGCTCAGAAGCTCCTTGTTGGTCATGAGCAACAGCTGAACCGTGGCACCACAGAACGTGTTAACTCAAAAGAACAAGCTCTGAAAGCTTCTACCTTTTCTAAATCCTCAAGCTCAAGAGGAAGAGGCCGAGGTAGAGGTAGAGGAAGAAGTGGTCGAGGCAACCGAGATGGAGACAGATAACACCAAAGTTCTAAGAGACATGATGATCACTCTCAGAATAGAGGAAAATGACAAGTTGACAAGTCTGACATTGAGTGGTACAGGTGTGGAAATTATGGGCATTATCACAATGAATGCTACACGAAGTTGCCAAAAGACAAAGAGAAAGAAGAGAAGTCCAACTTTGCTAAAAAGAAGGATGATGAGACACTTTTGATGGCTTTCCACGTCAAGGAAGAGATCGATTCATAAGTGTGGTATGTAGACACAGGTTGCAACATTCATATGAGTGGTTGTAAGTCATCATTTTCATTTCTGAATGAAAACTTTCAAATTACTGTGACCTATAAGGACTAAGAATAGGACTAAGAATGATTTTGTTGAAACAATTTCAAATGCGTTTTATGTGCCTAGTTTGAAAACAAATTTGTGAAGCGCTGAACAGTTACAAGAAAAAGGTTATATAATAACTCTTTAGAAAGATGCATATAAGATATATGATCCTGTAAGGGGTGCCATTACTGTGGTTCAAATGAGCCAAAACAGATTTTTTCCGCTGAAGATCAAGACTATCCAAACTTGTTTGAGGCTAAGAAAGACAATTCATCATGGCTGTGGCATTTTCGATATAGCCATTTGAATTCCAATGGCTTGAGGACACTGCATCAGTAGTAAATGGTGAATGGCCTTCCCATGATCACACCTCCATCTGAAGTCTGTGAAGAGTGTGTTGTAAGCAAACAACATCGTGATCAACTTCCCAAAGGAAAAGCTTGGAAAGCTCAAAACCTACTGGAGTTGGTGCATTAAGACATATATGGTCCAATCAATCCAGTATTGAATGGTAAGAAGAATTTTTTTTATTTTTTATTGATGACTTCAATAGAAAGCCATAGGTGTATTTTTTACAGGAAAAATCAGAGGCTTTTAATGCATTTAAAAGCTTCAAGGCACTTGTTAAGAATGAAAGTGGAAGAATGATCAAAACCCTTCGAACTGATCATGGTGGTAAGTATTGCCCAAAAGAGTTTGAAGTTTTTTGTGATGAGCAAGGGATTCGAAGGCAACTCACTACTTCATATGCACCCCAGCAAAATGGTGTATCCGAGAGAAAAAAATCGAACTATTCTTAACATGGTCATAAACTTTTTAGTTAAGGGAGTTCCTAAAAGTTTTTGGCCTGAAATAGTTTTATGGTCCATTCATGTTTTGAACAGGTGCCCCACTTTTTCTATTAAAAATATGACACCTGAGGAAGCTTGGAATGGACAGTAACGCTCCATGGATCACTTTAAAGCGTTTGGGTGCATAGTATATGCACATATTCCAAACGAGGATGATTGATTATGTAAGTGGAGATAAACTCTCTGATAATGATACTACTGCATACTTTGCTTTGTTTGTAAATTATACTCCTCTCGCCTTTGAGGAAGCAGTTGAGGACTCAAAAATGGAAAAAGGCAATGGATGCTGAAATTAAGTCAATTAAGAAAAATGATACATGGAAGATTACTAATTTGCCTAAGGGTCAGAAGACTATTGGTGTGAAGTGGGTTTTTAAAACCAAATTGAATGAGAAAGGTGAGGTGGGCAAGCACAAGGCCCGTTTACTAGCAAACGGATACAAGCAAGAATATGGTGTCGATTTCAAAGAAGTGTTTGCCCCATTTGCAAGGTAAGACACAATTCGTTTGGTAATCTCTCTAGTTGCTTAAACTCCTGGCCTATTTTTCAATTAGATGTGAAATCTGCCTTTTTACATGGTGAATTGCAAGAACAAGTGTTTGTCGATCAACCTCCAGGCTATGTGCAGCAAGGTAAAGAGAAGAAGGTTCTAAGGTTGAAGAAGGCACTTTATGGGTTGAAACAAGCACCACGAGCTTGGTACAGCTGTGTAGATGCATACTTTGTCAAACAAGGCTTCCAAAAGTGTCCATATGAGCATACTTTGTACGTTAAGGTTGGTGATGAAGGTAAAATGCTCATTGTATGCCTTTATGTTGATGATCTAATTTATAATGGAAATGGTGTTGATATGTATGATGATTTTAAGAAGTGTATGATGAAAGAGTTTGATACGAGTGACTTGGGACTGATGCACTACTTTCTTGGCATAGAAGTAGTACAATCAGCAACTGGTATTTTTATTTGCCAAAAAAAATATGTTCTGGAAGTATTGGAAAGGTTTCAAATGCTGAACTGCAATCCAATTGGAACTCCAGCAAAGGTAAGGATTAAAGTTGAGTAAAGATCCTGATGGGGAGAGAGTTGACAACACTTATTTCAAACAGATAGTTGGAAGTTTGATGTATCTAACTTCCACGAGGCCTGATATCATGCATTCTCTAAGCGTGACAAGTCGATATATAGAGAATCCCACTGAGATGCATCTCAGGGCAGCCACAAGAGTCTTTCGTTACTTGAAAGACACAATAAACTCTAAGATTCTTTATAAGAAAGGAAGAAAGTCAAGTTTCCATTGGTTTTACTGACAGTGATTACGCAGGTGATATTGATGATCGTAAAAGCATTTCTGAAAATGTGTTTTTAACAACTTCAGGTACAGTTTCATGGTCCTCGAAGAAGCAGCAAATTGTGACATTATCCACTACTAAAGCTGAGTTTGTGGCAGCTGCTTCATGTTCCTACCAAGCTATTTGGTTGAGAAGAATGCTAGAAGTTCTTGGTAACCAGCAACAAGGTTTAACAATTTATCGTGATAATGTTTCAACAAATTTTCAAGAATCCAATTATGCATGGAAGAAGCAAACATATCGATGTTAGATACCATTTCTTGCATGATCTATGCAAAGATGGTGTGATTGAGTTGCAGTTCTGTAAGAGTGAAGATCAAGCTGCTGATCTCATGACAAAACCTCTCAAACAATCAGTGTTCGACAAGCTTAGAAGTATGCTTGGAGTTTGTTCAAGGGAGGGACTCGCACAGGAGTGAAGTGGAGATGAAGATCAATCCTAAACTGTTTTTCTGTAGAAATCAGTTTAAGGGAGGGTGTTAAGATTTATCTTTAGATTATTTATTTTTCAATAAAGTGGTTGCATGTAGTTAGGAGACTTGTTTACCTAGTCTACAGGAGAATCCCTGAGTTGTAGGCGTAATAGTTAGGTTGTTAATCATGTTTATTTTTCATGCTGGAGTCGTGGTATGTAGTTCCACAAAATCTGCAAAGTGGACGTTAAGTTGGTTGCAGCAGTTGACTTATTTTTCTTATTTAAGTTGTAATTTCTCATTCAAGTTGAATTAATGAAATTCAGAGCTTCTTAGCCATCTCTTTAGCAGCTTAAGTTTACAGTTTCAAAAAGTTTAACCAACACTTTTGTCTGCGTGAAAGATTTCAGAGATTTGGACGTAGGGCAATACATTCCGCTCTTCTGGAGATGGGTTCGGGAGATATGAGCATCATAGATATGTATTCTGGCGGATGAGGGACAAGGTTGTGTCTTCATGGAATTCGGTGATGGGAGGGTTGGCATTTCATGGCCACACCAAGGAATCGGTTAATCTGTTTAAAGAGATGCGAAGGCTGAAATGCAGGCCTAACGAGATCATGTTGTTGGAGTTTTGGTTGCTTGCAGTCATGCCGGGAAAGTAGAAGAGGGGCGCAGATATTTCAATCTAATGAAGAATGTTTACAGAATTGTGCCAAACATAAAGCATTGCGGGTGCATGGTGGATTTGTTAGGGCGTGCCGGGGTATTAAATGAAGCATTTGAGTTCATAGAGAAAGTGGAGATTGCTCCCAATGCCATTGTTTGGAGGAATCTGCTTGGGGCATGTGGAGTTTATGGAAACCTTGAGCTGGGAAGGCGTGCAAATAAGCGACTACTTGAAATGAGAAGGGACGAGAGTGGGATTTCGTGCTATTATCTAACATATATGCTTCGCGAGGTGAGAGGCGAGGGGATGTAGAGGTGAAGAAGGAGCCTGGCTATAGCCTAATTGAAGCAGATAACAGTGCTCTTATGCATTTTTTGTTCGATTGCAAACCTAGGTCCTGTTAAAAACACCGTGGATTTAAGCCTCAGATTGTTGACCCAGTGTATTCGAAATTGTTAAACAAGTGTGACCAGTATAGTAGTTCTAATAGAAAGTTTTGCTTCTTAAAGTTCTGATATGATTTGTAAATGAGTTTGAACCCTTTGGCTACCGGTCTTCGTTTGCATTCATTTTAGTTCGTTCTAAGAGCAACATTTTGTGTCCAAATAAAATGATAGACTGCATGCAATATAGCAGATTGAAATAGTTACACAAACCCGAATTCACAGTCGAATTGAGCAAGGAAAGAAAATGGAATACATTAACACAATATACATTTTGTATCAAATGGAAAAACAAACATCTTAGATGACACACGAGTCACGCAAATTCACTCTGTCACGTGAATCAACAAACTGACGCACGAAGCATGTGTTAAACGCTCAGCGCTTAGAGAGGGCCGCAGCTGACAGCAAGATTAAGAGCATGAACACAACAACTCCAACAAAAGATCCGATCAAAGAGCCAGAGATACGCTCACAGAAGGCGTTGAATTGTTGGCAAATGGCAAACCAATTCGCCTTGGCATTTCCCTTGTGTGCTAAGTACACAATAGCTGCTGCTGCAGAAGCACCTGCCATCAGAAGAGCAAGCATTGCCTGCACAGCGGTACAAAACTCACTTTCGTTAAGCGAACTTTAAGCGTAATGGATAGTACGATGTAAACTCGCAAAATCTTAATGAGGTATTACCGTGTCGAAGAAGATCAAGATAATCCTGCTCTTCTTAGCATTGCTTCGTATGATGTGGAAGACGGAAAGGGCTAGAGAAAACACCAGATAGGCGCACACAATGGAATTCGCAACCACGAAAAACCTGTTAATGTAAGAAGATTAAACTTCATTAGTTTATGCATTAGAAGGTCTACTATTTTATGAGCACAGAAAAGTTGGTGGTGAGGAAACATACGTGAATGTGGGAAGATCATCGTACTCAGGCCTGAACTGAAGGAACTGAGTGAAGAAAGGAAGCCTTTCCCTGGTGGTTCCCATGGCGATTGCGCTCACCAATGTCCCAAGAAACGCAACTATACGCAGAATGAAGTCGAGGATAGATGCTCCTCGATTCACCCCTGCGCTTGCAGTGGTTGAAGCTATCCCTTTGGAGTTGGACTCACCATGACCAAGCTCAATAGCTGCTCCTGCCTTCATGTTTCTCCAAATGTTTTTCGTGCTGGATTAAATTCGCGGTTTTTAATCGGTTTTGGAAACCCGAGTTGTGGAAGCTAATTGTTGTGCTTGGAACAGGAGTCGAAGGGGTGTTTATATGCATGCAGTAAACACATAAAGTCTCTCTCTACGTTTGCATCAGGACCTGAAAAGATTCATAAAAATTGAAAAATTTCAAGAAACTAATGAAAATGACTTGTAAACTTTGAGTTTTAACGATAAGGATAAAATAAAAGGTAAAGTGAATAATATCAAAATTGATTTTTTAATATAAAAATGTGATTTTTCGTTAAAGTAAACAGTACTAAAGCTCCAAAAAATTCTTCTTTGGGCGGACGGATCCATGAATTGTGAAGTGTATTACCTGCTCTCGTACTTGCTCTGATATACCAAATAAAAGAGGTCACCACACACTTCCAACTGCACCAACGTTGACCCCAATTTGGCAAAGTGAATCACGACCAAATTGGAAACATGCATATGATATAAGATTTTGAGACTTGACTTGCGGAATGCCACTAATAGCTACCTTTCTCATTTATTGTGTGACATGTGTCTTCTACTATCACTTGAAACTAATCACTTAATGTGTTTGACTTTGACAACTTATTTTTTATATATACTAGAAAATTTTTAGTGTGTTAGGAACACAGTTCAGTACACCTAGTGTTATAATACAAGTGGTTGGATACTTGAAATTTTTTTTTTTAACCACTTGTATTATGATACTTGTTGTAGCGAACTGTGTTCCCGACACATAGAAAAAATCTCCATATACCCATCATAAATTAAATTTAATCATTTTTTCGGAATTAAGAGTATTTACCTCTGTGTTCAAAGTCCTAATTTTAATTCTCTCTTCCTACTATCGCTTGTATAAAAACAATCATGCTCTGCTAAGGCTTCATTTTGAGGACTTATGAGGACCTAATACATATTAGCCACAAAATTAGATTAGTTTAGATCCAAAAGCTTAAATTATTTGACAACTTAATAAAGTAAAACCAACTTGAAATTCATAAATCATTAAAAAAACACATTTTCTTGTTTTGCATTATAAAGTTGTCAAATATTTTAAGCTTTTAGAACTAAATATTTATGTAATCTTGTGATACTTTTCATTTGGTCCTCAAATGTCCTCAAAAGAGGACCTTAGAAGAGCATGACTTTGTATATAAAAAAAAAAGGCAATAATAATAAATACTTTACTCCATTTTTACAACCATGATAAGATTTATCATCAAAGTTTCCCTACTCCATTAAACCTAATTAGACAATCTTGAATGTTGGATCTAAACCTTTGACTCTTTTCCATTTAACAATTTTCCAAATTCCCCACCGTGTTCCACGACAATGTTATATATCTGGGTCGGTTTTTTCACTCGAGTTGGTAAGCTTTTCTAGTTTATAATATCCTTGACCCCCGAAAGCTGCGCCTGCATGCTGGAAAAACAAGCCAGCTCTCGCTTATCTTTCTACTCCATCCACACTCTAGTGCTTGCTATGTTGTACGTACAACGGCATTTGCCCTACTAACTATATACGCAGAATCAACAGCTTTTGAATTTCATTAAGAATTCGGGCTATCTCTTGATGTGATGTATACCTACGATTTTCCATTCATAATCATGAGAAGCACCCGAAGGTTAACCCAACAGGACTGAAGCCTAAATGTTCTCATTCTCGCATATATAGTTCCGCCCTTCTTGTTCCGAAACTGGTACATAGAGAACGCATAATCTTTTTCCCAGCCTGAACATCAGGTGCACACTTGATTTCGGCATAGAAACTCAACCAGATCATCAAAATCCTTCTCACAATAACCACAAGTAATGTCATAAAAGAACTGAGTTGCTAGGCCTGAGCTCAAAAGCCATAGTCTTCTTCACAAGATTTCTTGCTTCCTGTATCTTTCCATCCTTGCAAAGCAATCCAATGATTTTCTCAACTGTACCCTCCTTCAAACCTCCCAAATCGACACCTAATTCCACCATAACCCAACTGTTGGATATATGTCAACAATCTGTTATATAATTATATATGCTAATAAATAATAAATGCGAATAGGAAATTAACAGAGTATGAACAATGAAATAATATTGAACATAAATATTGAAGATCGAGACTTACGTACCGCAATGTCCTTGAAATAGAAATTTCGTCCCTACTCAGTACTTGTAGTTCTACGGACGTCTGCATCATCAGGATTCAACGATCAAGTCAGAATTCCAACACCGGAAAACTTGACTTCTGGCGAATTTCTATGTGATTCTCTCAGTAATGATGTTTTGGATTATAGAAGAAGAATTGTATTTTCTATGTTCTAAATGTCATGCAGATGGATGTATATATAGTGGGATTATGCATGTTCGCAACAGGTATGAGAATGAGATGTGACTGTTGGGAGACATCTTTTCAGAGGGGTGTTGTGCTCTCTGCGTTTTTTGATTTCAAACTTCATGTGAAAAGATGAGTCTGTTCAAATAAAAAATAATTTAATTAAATTCCAAATTAATTAAAAAAATAATTTATTAAAGAATTTAATTTTCAGAGCCCAAGAGCCAAATTAATTATATATATTAATTATTAATTAATTATAAACTAATTAGTACACCCCAAAACCCATCTTTTGATAATTAATTATATATATTAATTATTAATTAATTATCAATTAATTAGTACACCTCAAAGCCCAACCCCAAGGGTGAGCCCAATTTTATTCTCCAAAACTTATCACTCCAATCACTTTCTATAAGGGACAAAGCCTTATAAAGTGAGGAAACCTTTTGGGAATGGCCAATGTGGGACAATGAAATTTCTACTCAAAATTTTCAACAATACCCCACGTTTGAGTTGAAATTTCATTCAAACTCCAACAATTACCCCACATTTGAATGCAAATGTATGACTAGGCTGCCAAAAACTGAGAGAGAATAGACATGATATGCATTGGGTGAAGTGTCTTTTGGACTTGAACTTACCCTAGTGAAAACATATCGGGTTTACTTGGTGACGCAGTGGATGTGGAAGATCTTGAACTGTTCACCGTAATAGTAAATTGAGACAATATGCTACACACATATCATATCTGCCACACATCAATTCATACGGTTGTGTTCATTTTGGCCTTGAATATATCCTGGATTTTGTAGGAGTTTTAGAGAATTTAGCCATTTCATTTCTCATAAATGCGGCCCCATTTACTCCTATATAGGTGACATTAATTAAGAATAGTCTACCATATTCCTCTTGATAACAAGATATTAATGTCATTAAATGTATAAAACATAACCCCTTAAACTCAACAGACAACACACATTTTATCATAAGAATGGGTAAGTTGTGTGTTCAACGTTTGAATCAAACTCAACCAGTTTGCCTATTAAACCTAGACCATGGGATCTCCAATTAGCTAGGTTAGGTTTCCGCCTAGTTTGATTCATTGAATTGGCTTGAGACTCATTCCTCTCGATGTAAATAATATTTGCTCTCTTGGTAGGCCTTTTGTCAAAGGATCAGCCATATGTTCCTTTGACTTTACATAATCAATGGATATTGTTCCATTGGAGAGCAACTTCTTAAGAGTATTATGCCGACGCCTGATGTGTTGCGACTTTCCATTGTATACATGACTTTTGGCCATTGATTGTGCGGTCATACTGTCATAATGTATACATATAGTAGTTACAGGCTTTGGCCACACTGGAATATCCTCCAGAAAATGTTTGAGCCACTCGGCTTCGTCACCAGCCAAGTCTAAAGCTATGAACTCGGACTCCATGGTGGAACGAGCTATACATTTCCGTTTAGAGGATTTCCAAGATATTGCTACACCTCCTAAGGTAAAAACATATCCATTTGTCGACTTGGATTTTGTAGTGTCAGAAATCCAATTGGCATCACCGAAGCCTTCTACAACAGGTGGATACTTAGTGTAGTGTAATCCGTAGTTAAGTGTATTTTTCAAATACCTTAACACTCTTACTAAAGCATCCCAATGCGCTTATGCCTGATTACTTGTATATATACTAAGCCTACTTACTGCATAAGCTAAGTCGGGCCTAGTTGAATTCATCAAGTAAATTATACTTCCAATTACTTGAGAATATTCAAGTTGAGATATGACATTGCCTTTATTTTTCTCCAACTTGCATCCAGCATCAAAAGGAGTTGCAGCAAGTTTGCAGTCAACTTGACCAAACCTTCGTAATATTTTTTATGCATAATGGGATTGTGTAAGGACATACCCTTCACTATTTCTCTTAATTTGAATTCCTAAAATGACATCGGCTTGACCTAAGTTTTTCATGTCAAAATTCGAATTCAACATTTTCTTTTTTTTGTTTATTACATCTTATCGTTTCCCATTATGAGCATACCATCCACATACAAGCAGACAATAAAGAAAGTTTTATCATTACTCTTAATGTAGACACATTTATCAGATTCATTTATTTTGAGCCCAATTTTATTCTCCAAAACCTATTACTCCAATCACTTTCTATAAGGGAAAAAATCTTATAAAGTGAGGAAATCTTTTGGGAATGACCAATGTGGGACAATAAATTTTTCTACTCAAAATTTCCTACACCAACAACCTTGAAAAAGCCAATTGGGGTTTCTTCATTTCCTTAATTAGGGACTAATTGCTGCCTCACTCTATCATACATCGAAACGGCCCCTTCTGATTCACCAGTAACAAACCCTTCAATCAAATCACTAAGAACATGAACACTCAATACAATTTCTTTGTTTTCCATTGTGGAAAGCAAGAATTCAACTCCTCTAAGCAACCCCTAACCCACTTGAAAATTCCCAACAAAGACTCAACCTTACTCGCTTCAAACCCAACTTTCCCACATCGTTGAGAGCTACTCTAGTAGGGCAGCTGTACCGACGTGTCCTTCGTGTAACTCTACCACGGTTCTCTTTTTAATTAATCTTTGATTTGAATAAATCATGGACGACTCAATAGACATCAATAAAGAAAAATGCAAAATGAAAGAAAACAAAAGTGTGAAAATCACTATCTAAACCGAATATAACATTAAAAAATGGACTCAATTCTGAAAAATATTGAAAATTAGCTAAATTTTACATCATGTTTAAAAATTAGCCACCTGTGTGATTAGTTATCGATGATCCACCTAAGGGGTTGACTTGTGGAACTCTTAGAGAGCATCAAGGGGCAAGCATTGCCCTTGAGATGCAAAAACCGTAAGAGTTGACCTCAGTTGCTCTTAAACTCTAATCATCCACCAAAATCTTGAACTATATCAGCGTTGAAGTTCATCAAAAAGTGTCTTCTCTCATTCCTCCCAAGTTATTAACAGAAAAGGTAAAAAAATGGATCCGAAGTCGAGTGCTTTTTTGATTGGAATAGTTGGTGCAGCAGTGACCTTGTCTGCTTATTCTCAGACTCTCGTCTCTCCAACTCAGTGCATCGGAGTCGGCCTCTTTGTTCTCATGTTTGGATTGCTGGTCAGGGAAGGTCTCATATCTCTTTAGCTAACTCCATCTATCAGTCTTAATTTCTTCTTTCGTTTCCCATTACGGTTTTGTAATTGATATGGTTCATACAACTTTTTCTTGGAGATTTGTATGATCTAGAGTTTGTTTCATAGTAGTTATTTGGATTGGGCTTTTGTTATATGTAATATGTACGTTTCTTTTTTCTATATGTCAATTATGATGCAAATCAAAGCTGCATAGGTGCAAATGGGAATACTTTTTTGAGAAAATAACTTGCTTCCAATTTATTTAAAGGAAATAATTTTCCTTTTGATTTAGGGAACTTTAACAAAAAGATCTCGATACTGTTCACTTTAACGAAAAACCATATTTTTACACTAAAAAATCAATTTTGATACTATTCACTTTACCCTTTATTTTGTCCTTATCGTTAAAACTTAAAATTTTCAAATTCTTTTCATTAGTTTTCCTTTTGATTTATTTATCTCAAAACTATAGAAAGACACATGTAAAGAGAGAATTGAGTGCAAAAAGGGCCCATAGATCTTAATATTTAGAGGCCAACATAGATTGCATAACTATTGTATGGCACGAGGCCATGGCGAAAAAAATATATGTTCTTCTAAAAGAGATATTTTTTTTTCCCCTTAAACATATTTTAAACTATTTACAAAAGAGCTATTTGAACTTTAATACAATGAGAGATTTAAACTTGAATATAACAAAGAACGACACATTAAGATAACCAACTAGCGTACATTTACTTGGTAATTAAGCCTACTTAAATAGTACATGGTTAATTTGCCTAACCTACCTTGTTTTCGTACCGCTTTGACCAAATTATGCAACAGGTGGGTGTGAGTGGACCTTAGCACCACTTTTGTGAGGACGGATACATTAGTTTTCTCCCAAAAATCGCCATACCAAGGTTTGGTCGACGACTCCCAATGTAATAATCTCCTAATTATGAATCCCCTGTATTTCTCCAAATCATCGGTTGATTAAATACTTTGAATCAAATTTCTCCAATATTTCTCCAAAAGTGACATTTTTTTCATAGATTATGCAAAAATATGGTAACACGTTCATGTTATGAGAAAAGTTAACCAATCCCAACTACCTCACATTCACCATTTATCATAAGCTACACACGACCTGTTTATATATACACGAAATTGCCCTAAAATAAATAAAGCATCAACTTAGCAGACATGGACATTTCCTTCAAGTTGCAGTTAGTACTCTGTTAATCTGTGATAATACCTAGTGAATGCAGAAAGAGAGGATAGTTGGACAGTAAATCTCCATATACTATCCAACTTCTGTATCATGTAGAAAGTTTTAAACATCGAACATAAGAAGCAGAAAGTTTCAAGTAAACTCACAGGAAATCAGATATATGCAAGCTGGCGACTTCCATCAGCAAAGTTTGGGAAAGATTTGATGAAAGAATGATGTTTTCCCTTACCTAATACAAGCGATATTTTACCGAAATTCAATCAAATTTACAATGGAGATATGCGAACTTGAGTGCATAAGGAAAGCGTATATACTCTAGTTAATGTGACTATGCCCAAATATCTAAATAAAAAAATAATGCTAAATACATAAAGAATTAAACGAGATTTCCATAAAAATAGATAAACTAACCCTTCAAATTTGAGGTCACGCTCTCATGACTACAACTACCATCACTTCATGCATATATAGTGGTCCAGATCGGGGTTGTTATCGTCATCGTATCAATCTAGCATGAGAAAAGGAGGCAAAAATGTAGCCAGAGATGACTTGCCGATCATCTCATTGTCACAAGATCATGTATCTTTCTGTATCATGTATATATGCATGAGATGATATCAACATACATGATACATCCCATAAATATGCAATGTACATATAGATATATATATATGTATATATGTATACAAGATTTGGGTTGATACATAATATTGTAACTGAACATTGCTGCCGGCAAGTCATCCTTGGCTGCACTGCATACCTCATTCCCACATGCAAGACTTAAGATGAAAAATACCATATACCCAGAATAATATGAAGTTTTACAGTACAAATGAAGAGTATATGTTTGGCAGCAAAGCTAAAAGAGGGGCCGACTTTCCCACAAGTCAACCAATCAAATTAGATTTAACTGCAAGAAACTCAAAAAACAGAGGCGGGAATTTAGGGTTTTTTTCCCAAAGGAGAAAGACAACATTCCCAAGCACAAAACGGAAACAAAACCCCTCTACTTATTTCAACAAGAAAACAAGCAAATTTCCCAAACAAGGAAGCTGTTAGAAAGAGGTAGAGAAGAAGAAGCCGATTGGACTACAAAGTCCGATTGGCAGTGTTTGGACGAATAAGATATGAGCCAAGCATAAATATAGAGCAAACCCTAGAATCTAATGTCTACTAGACACTGTCTAGTAGTTGGCTAGCTGCACGTATTAAGAAATTGGAAAAAGTGCTTTTCTCTGTATCCAAACAGTCCAAGTATTAATGGTGTCAGCTGTTGCACAAGCAGAGCAACCCTAGAACTGTCCGATCCGGGTCCTTTTTCTAAGAATCCTAGAAATCCCTTAATCGTATCTGTTCATGGTATATCGTGTTGTCAAAAATTATTTAAAATTTAAAATTCAAATATAAATAATACCTAATGAAAATTGACCGTACAACGTACAATAAACGGATATGATTATAGAATCCCTAGGATCCTTAGGAAAGTCCAATAGGATATGAACAAGAAAATGAGTAATTTAGAGGGTTCTTACGGGAGGTGGATTGTTGCCCTTCCATTTTCATACTTCCCATCCTCTCCTGTTTATGTGATCACGGTTAAGCCACGTCAATATTTTATACTTCTATTACTTTTTGTTTTATTATTTTTATAAAAATTTAATATAAAATATTAACGTAGCTTAACTTTGATCATACATCACAAAAAAGTATGAAAATAGTATAAAAATGAAAAAACAGACAATCCACCTCTGTTTTTAAGATGTGACTTTTGCATGGGTGCATAAACCAAAGAGATATTGAAGCCTTAAAGATCCATACCCATCACCCTTAAAGTTTGCTATCTCTGACTGCTTTTTTCTCACAACACCATTTAAGTCATGGCATTACTTCTAGGGATTTGATTTGCTTTTAGATTAATTGGTATGGCTCTCTTCAGAACGTGTACTATCGGGTAGGAATGGGTTTAGGTGAGGTGGGTTAATTTACTGGATTTGGGTAAGGCCACATCCCAACCGAAGTTTTAGGGTTAGGGTTTCATTTTGACCAAGTCGAGAAATACTTATCTACCCCTAACTAGGACGGATATATTAGGGGGTCTGGGTGGTTTCAGGACCACTCGAAAGCACAAATAAATAGTTGTGAGAACCTCCTAAGATCACTAAAGTTTGGAGGAGAAAAGCAACGACAGCTGTATTGCAGTTTAAAGAGAAGAAGAATACTTTCTTTTTAACTGATTTCTCTAAAACGACGTTTTTTTTTACTCTTTTGAGCCAAGCCATTTGAAAAATAAAATAAAAACTCATCCTTCTTAATAAGCCACATGAGATCCTCACCCTTTTTAATTCAAAAAAAGGAAGAGATGTTCGAATGATTGTTTCCACTCCCCGAATGACCTCTCAGAATCCTTTGTGTGAAGATCTCGGGAATCATTTAATCACATCTGTTCATGTATATCGTGTAGTTAGTTTTCGTTAAGTACTGTTTATATTTAATTTTAAATAAAAAGATTTACAATAATTTCTAATCGCACGATATACGATGAATGAATGTAATTTGAGGATTCTCAAGATCCTCGCAAAGAGGATCCTCTTTCCACCTCCCCGACCTCTAGACTCCACTTCACCCAATCCCATTTCATTCACTTTTACAATTCCAATTCCCAAATTGGCTAATTGGCCAACCCCACCCAACCGACCCCCAGGCCAACACCAGATGCTCCACGCCTCCACCCATCTCTTCTCCCAAGCTCCTCCGCCACCGCCGTGACCACATCACGACTCTCACTCCGTCAAACCCTACAAGTTTCCGGGTCAATAGCGACTTTTTGTTTGTGGGGGGTTTTTCGAAATTGAGTTTTTGGATTTGTTTCATTAATATCAACAAGCAAAAATTAGATTTTTGTATATTCAATATGAAATGCTAGAATTAAAAGACCCTATAGAATTCAAAGACTCACTAGGTCTTATAAATTAAGAATTCCAATTTAAGTTTTAACAAATTGGCTGAGAATTGTAATCAAAACTCAAATGTTATATTAAGGATCAAATTTCACTTGCGTGAGCTCCAAATTTATTTTTATAAATGCGATATTAGGAAGAGAGAATCAAACTCAGGATCTTAAGTGCATAAAAGTAAATGTAAACTTGGAAGTTTTATTCATGTTTTGACCATCAAAATTCAATTGAAATTATATTTGTTGAAGTTACAGAAAGATCTACCAAATGGCTCCAATACTAATACTGTTCTCAACTTAACCACCTGTTTTCCAAGAGATGTGAGATTTTATCCTAAAAGACCTTAGTGCAAATGAAATTGAACTATTTGTTATAAGTTGTGACTTGGTTTCGTGTGATGGCCAATGTGGGACTCTTTGCTTTATTCAACATGCCCCTCACGTCCGACCACTTTGGAATAGTCATGCGTGGAACTACATCAGTCATGTTTGTAAGTGAACCCAATAATTCAAATCTAATCTAAATACCCACTCTAATAGCATGTTAAAATTTCAAAAAGACAGGTCAAATAATCCAACACCAATATTATCCCCAACCAACCACATATGACCCAAAGAGGTGTGGAGTTTTATTCTAAAGAACTCGGTGCAATGAAAAGTTGAACCATTTGATATATGTTTTGTGAGAAGATTGATGTAGAACTTTTTGCTTTATTCAACAAATATTTAGACCCAAATATAACATTTTAGTCCAAACTTTCCACCAAATTGAAGCCTTCAAGTTGAAGGACGTTTACCTCAGCGACACCATCATGTTGTGCAAGAGGGTCATCACTATATGTACTCAGCAGCATTCCTGCAAATTTTATTTTGTGCAAGTAAAGTCATCATCTAGCTCTCGATCTAGTGGTACCTATTTTCGGTCTGATGGGTACTTACCTTCTAAATACTTGGACATCCAGAGGTTGTAATAATAAACACTGATAAGGCAATTTCTTGATTTCCTTTCAGACACTTGTGAAAAAAACCCAAAGGGCAGAAAGCAAGCAATGGCTTCAAAACACATCACACCAACCCATAAACTGAACTACATGAGCAGCAAAGTGTAAACAAAGGAAATATATCAAAACTGCATTTCCAAGAAACTTAATCCATTCTGGTTTAAAGCAGACGGGCGTCGCCCCAACATGTATACAACGAGCACACATCCCCTTTCCTCCAGAGAGAAATACAAACGCAAAAGTTAGTTCCAACCAGTGCCACTAAGTATAGCTAATATGCGAAAAGCTGCCAATCAGACTATGTACTCAACCAACAGAGTATATATGCTTCTTATATCGTGTTTGCAACAATCAATTCTTGTATCGTGAGCATGCCAACGGGCAGAAATAGAACCTGCCAAATGCGCCGTACAAGAGACTTAGATCACTTTTAACCATAGCTAGACAGTGACACGAGCATGCATAAATAGTAAATCAACCTACCACTTGAATCATCGAGTTTCAACCCCACGAATTTCCGTCATGGCCTTCAAAAGTAAGATCTGAAGCTCCAGCATCCATCAAATTTGTACTTAACATAACATTGAAAGAAACTCCGAACTTACCTGAACATGAACAAAACTGGCAGCAGCAGAACTTAACAGAAAAGTTGCAGTTAAATTTGGTGTTCAACCAAAAATTTCCCGGGATGGCAGAGTGTTTGATGCATGGCAGTTAAATTTGGTATTCAACACAAACACCACCAGGCACACAGCTACCGTAGTCGTGTTGAGATTCAGCTTCAATTACACATCCTGCTCTATTAGCATTAATATATGTGTTTGGTATATGCAAAATACACAAATTCTTACTTAAAAACCCGTAACTAATTTCGGATTGGTAGACCTCAAAAAAAGTTATTTTAATGCAGATGGATTTCAGAAACAGTCTGGTGTAAACCAAACTCATAATAAAAATGATACAGATGGATCATAAATGCCGGCAGTCAGATGATACGACAATCTGCTACATCACAAAGTAAGTGGTTAAGTTTTCAAGATCAACAACATAAAAATTAAAACAACAAAGTAATCAAACTACATAGCTGAGAAGCACAAATACAGAGGTAACATTGAAGTAACATGGCTTCATAACGTAAAAGTGTAACAGGAAAAACAGCAACATGGGCGGGCATGCTGGTATATAGGTTCTAGGGAAGCTTGGTAATTTTGGTTTCTTGGACTTATAAGTAGATTCGTCAAGGTGGGCCATGACTATGTCATATGCTGGTTCATCTTCCGGTTTAGGCAGACAGTAGGCTAGCTTCAGGCTTCATAGAACTCAGCTGTTTCGATGGGATGGGAAAGGCAAAAAAGGGAAAACATAAGCATCAGAATTTTATATACAGGGAGACTGGATAGGTTATGATTATCAAATGACTGGCCAAGGGGTAATGCCAGTTATAACAACAGACATGAAAATCTCAAAAGACAACCATAGTCTACCTGCTGGTACCATCATTAAACATAGTTTCTCCTCCGAGAAACAGGGTTCTGGCTAGATAACCTGATATCATAAGCTTTAGATCAGGATTAATGCGTTTCAAGAACAGCATTTGTGGAAAAAAAGAAACAGGGTACTTAATTAATAAACCCGAGATTAGAAGCCTACTGTGCTCATGAACAAACCCAGATAACTCTATTCAGAGATATTTGTGTCTAAAATTCGTTTAGTGTTATCACAAAGTCCCAAATTTAGAATTTTATGAATATCCAACTTGAGGTTCTACACTAACTGTGAAGATGTCACCTAAAATTGGGGATACAGCTAGCTACTCGATATATATTTGCACAAAAAGAGCAACAGAACACAAAAAAAATTTGAAAAAAAAAGGAGGGGAGGATATGAAACTAAGAAGAGGCAATTCAAGAATGAAAAGACAATGGAAGAAAGTTTTACCCAGAACTACCACTCCGCCCAGAAGAATAACCCCCGTAGGCTCCATAAGCGCTGCCGCTACCACCAATCTACATATGATTTGAAGAAAAAGTGTTGTCAAGTGAAAAAGAAGAAAAACTTTGTAAAGTGAAAATTAGTCACCTTATTCTTAGAAGAAAAGTCTAAAAATAGCAGTAAAAATATACCTGTGAACCACCATAACTTCCATAACTGTCACTCGCAGCAAAATCACTTGAGCCACCATAGCCAGCAGAATAAGAATGCCCACGACCATGTCTTTTACCATCCCTACTATCATAATTTGGACCATCTGGACCATCTGCTGACACAGGAAGATAAGGCAAAATTGGCAGGAATCCAGGCACTCCACCTTCCCTGTCGAAAAGGTTTGCTCTTAATCTGGTAACTACTTGTATAAGAGCATCCTTAACAATATCAAGTTCTCCAGAAATCTGTAAAATGAAACACAAAATTGTCAATATCTGTATGATACGAGCCAAATCAAGGAAACTCTAAACACATTATCAAAGAGAAAATTTTCAAAATGACACGAGAAAATACAACAGTCAGGAAAATCCAGAGGCATGATGAAAAAGACTTTACCTGCACCATCTCATCATCTTCAGATGCAATTTTGGGAAGATTTTCCTTAGAAAGTATGCGAATATTAGCTTTGGTAAGTCTCCTCATCTCAGTTACAATAGCCCCACCTTTCCCAATTAGGCAGCCAATTCGTGACGTTGGAACAAGTAGGCGGGTTGTGAATGAGATAATTCCTGAATCTCTTTCTACTTTTTCACTGCATCTGGGTTGCAAACGCACTGCTGCTTCAATAGCTGCTGAGAATGAGTCTTCAAAGAACTGTAATGGTACATGTTAAAAAAAACGATGATGTAAATCCTCCACCGATGCAACTCCACGCAAAACACAAATGGAGCAGTAATTCACCTCTTTTGCTGATACATTAATTAAGCAATCATCTCCTTCAGTAGCTGAACTATCAACCTTAATAACAGCCCCCGAATCCTGTCTGATTTGGTTAATTATGGTACCACCCTTTCCAATCACACCTCCAATATTCGCAGTTGGACAAACCAAGCGAATAGAAAATTCTTTCGAGGATGCTTCATCTCTTGGAGCTGAGTACAAGGAGCGTGACCAGTCTCCAACATCACCTTTGTACCCCCCTCCATAAGGACCCATCATTGGAGCAATTCCCATTAGTGGGGGACCACCAGATGGACCCATGAGTGAACCACCAGAATACATAGGCACCGAAGAAGTAAGTAAATGCTGAGATCGTGATGGGTTATCATGAAGGCGAGATGCAATTTGAAAAAGAGCCTTCTTGACTAGTGGAGCTTCCCCAGATATCTGAATCCATGATCAATAACTTAATAAACATACATATGAAAAGAATTTCCAGTACCTAGAAAACAAACAACTTGCACAAAGTGACTCCAAAGATTTCTCAACAATTCCACGTCTCACATTCTAATATAGCATGCTCCATCAAACCCTGACCACTTATTAAGGAAAAAGAAATAAACATCACACACATTTTACAAGCATGTAACGTTAAGGGTCCAAAGAGTGGAATCGTGCAAATTAACATAACAGAAAGTACTACATAGACCAATAAGAACATGCAGAGCATTACTCTCTTCAGGTAAGATGTTGAAATGCTACCTAGAAATTTACCCGTTAAAGATCAAACGCACCAAAAAACCCGAATCGAATAATAAATTTAAGACATATCCGTATGCAAGAAACAGGAAAAGTTCAAAAATTCATTAAAAAGTTCAAAAACTTATTCAATATACCTGCACAAGCTCATCAGAGTTCAAGGCACAAGCAGGCAGATGGTCATCCTTGAGAATCCGAATCTGTGCACCGGTTTCACTCCGAATGTTCTGAACAATCTGCCCTCCTTTCCCAATAATGCAACCGATCTGATCAGACGGCACAAGAAGCCGCACAATCACATGGTGCCCCCCGCCACCACTACTGCCACCGTCCGCCTCCTCCTCGTTATTATTATGCGTGTCCTCAGCAATCACCCTATCATGGACCCTGAACAGAGCGTCCTGAGCCGGAGCCACACACGTCCCGCCATCTTCGAACCCATTCGTCTCATCCCTCGCACTGTAAATAGTAACAACCCGCTCCTCGCTGCCCGGCACCGTCTCCCCAATTCGAATCTTGGACTTGGTGTCCCCCCTCAGCTGCTTCACAATCTCTCCTCCTCTCCCAATTATGCTCCCAATCTTCTTCACTGGGCACAAGTACCGGTACACCGTGTCCTCCGCATCGATGATGAATTGCTCCCTTTCCTCACCGGGATTTCTCCTTTTGTTTCCTCCTCCGCCGCCGTTGTCGGCGTACTCGGACTGCGAATGAGAACGCTTTCCGTAACTATTTCTCTGACCTGCCATCGCTATCTATTTCCCAATCATTCAATCAACAAACAAAATCAGTGCGAAATCAGATTCAACTCTAATTTAGCAAAATTGGGTATACAGGAACCCTAAATTGGAGAAGAAAATCGAGTACCTTTTGAACGGGGAGAGATATCGATCGAACTGCCAGATTATGCTGTCTCTACGTTTTGGAATCCTAGATTTAGATTTCTAGGGTTTTGACCGCCCTTTCTTTTTCTTTTGTTATATACACACTTTTGACCGCCCTATCTCTTGTGAGGAAAATAAAACAATTAATTTTAAGTTATGTGTCTTTTTTTTTTTTTTTTTTTTTACCAAACGATAAATTTGTTAAATTAAATATTAAATTAATCATTTATAGGATCCGAACCCATATCATTAACGGCTCAACTGCTTTCCATCACTATAGTAAATGACCACTTGCAGATATGTGTTTTCAATATTACATATCATTTAATATTATTGATAATTTAACTGTTAAATTAAAATTTTTGTAATTTTTTATATTCTCAATCTCGATCATGCATTTTTATATTATTTAATATTATGTATTACCGACGAAATTTGTTTTTGATGTGGCGGTAGTTTTAGTGTTACGTGTCATTTGCACATAAAAAAATATATTGCAAGATCAAAAATTAGCCAGTATAAAATGTAAACTACCTTTGTTTCATCACTTTTGTTTCATTTAAGCAACTTGTATCCTTTGAACTTTGTGATAAAAAATTTAATTCAAGACGAGAGTTTAGGATAAATACTTGTATTCAACTGAGCCACCAGCTCTTACAAATTAAAATAGATAATTAGCAATTTTGTCCCAAACAAAATGATTTTTAAACCCCTCTGCCTACTAAAATCGCGTTCATAAAAAAATAAAATTCAGCGTGTTAAAAAATTAATACAATACATTAATTGTAATAATACATTTTACATTTCAAATTGTGTTTCGGTTACATCGAAAAATTTTTCTTTCGCGAGGACACGAGGCAGTGTGAGGTGTCTCTTATCAATAATAATCCTCCCACCTGACGTCCCCAGTTTCTACCCAATCCAATCGACTCCCACACTTTCTCGACCGCCAAACACCCCAATCCCTCTCTAATCTCTCTCTCTTCCCCTAACCCTAACGCCCAACCTCCAACTTGGCCCACCCAATCTCCGCCCTATGTCGACATCGGGGACGCCGCAGTTCCGGTACACGCAGACGCCGTCGAAGGTGCTCCACCTCCGTAACCTCCCGTGGGAGTGCGCCGAGGAGGAGCTCATCGAGCTCTGCAAACCCTTCGGCAAGATCGTCAACACCAAGTGTAATGTCGGCGCCAATCGCAATCAGGCCTTCGTCGAATTCGTACGCCCCTCTCACTTTTCTCATTTCTAATTTCAGTGTTGTATTTCGGATGTTAATAAATTTATTGAATTTTCCAGAATTTATGATATTCACCTTGAGGGTTTTGTTGTTAGCTGCCTAATTTGTGTGAATTTTACTAGATTTACTAAAAAAATTCAGAATTTTAATGAAATCCAGCTTCAGGGTTATCCAGTTAGCTGCCTAATATGTATGAATATGCTTATTTCTTGTAAGGATTTTAGTTTTTATATCTTTCGCATCTCGCAATGTTTATATGTTGATGAATGTGGTTTTTTTTATTTTACAGTCAGACCTAAACCAGGCCATCAATATGGTTTCGTATTATGCTTCATCCTCGGAGCCTGCGCAGGTCCGTGGTAAAACCGTTTACATTCAGTATTCAAATAGACACGAAATTGTCAACAACAAAAGTCCGGGAGATGTGCCCGGAAATGTCTTGTTGGTAACCATTGAGGGTGTTGAAGCTGGCGATGTGAGCATTGATGTTATTCACTTGGTAAGTGCTTTTTGGCCCACATTTGGACATATCTTCTAATAAGTTGCAAAACTTTGTTTCAACCTGCCTGATCCATGTCTAGAGATCATGATATGCTGAGGTGTTTTCTACGTCATGGGATTCTGTATAAACGTTCAAATTGTATTTTTTTTGTATAACACATGTTACTTTTTTCGTTTTTACTGAAATCAGTTGAATCACAGAAGGTTTTGTCTCTTATTTAAATTACTTCGTTGGAAGCAGTTTGGAATTATTATCATGTACGTCATACTCCTTTCTAAGGTCACGCATATATGCACAGGTGTCATTCTGCACTTATAACTCATCTGTTCAGAATTTTTTTGCTGCCCTTAGTATTTTCATCTGGGAGGGTTTCTGCTGTTGTCTTGTTTCCTGTTATATCAATGTAATATGTTTATGATGAACTGAATCATTTTTCAGGTGTTCTCTGCTTTCGGCTTTGTGCACAAGATTGCTACTTTTGAAAAAGCAGCAGGCTTCCAGGTGTGTATTGGATGATCTTTCTTAGTATTGCATATGATTTGTACTCCAGATGCTTCATGCTTATTCTCTCATTTTAATTTTGCAGGCATTGATTCAGTTCAGTGATGCTGTCACCGCATCTATGGCAAGGAATGCGTTGGATGGAAGAAGTATACCCAGGCAAGCACACTACATACGTTCCCTCCTCCCACCGTCGTTTTCTCATTGATATCAGTACATCTGGGAAAGTGTATATTGTTGCTAATTTTGACATGTAATGCTTTGCATTCAGGTACTTGCTTCCGGAGAACGTCGGTTCATGCAACTTACGTATTTCATATTCCGCACATACCGATCTGAACATCAAGTTCCAGTCTCACCGAAGCAGGTAAGAAACAGACCCAACAGGTCAATAATCTATTTCTGGTTTTTATACTGGCTTCACTCTTCTGTGTCAGATTGTGACGATTGCTACACTCCTTCGCTGATTTTATTGCATGATAAATCAATTGCTAATTGGTGTGTGTGCTTTTTGTCATCTAGGAAGCTTGGTAGCCAGAACACAGATGTGTTGTCATGGCCATTTAGTAATTCCTTGATCTTATATAGTACCCTTTATGTATTTATTATTGCGGAAATGTACCAAATTAACACTGTATTCAGTCTTCATCTTACACTGTCACACGCTATACAATTCCTTCTATTTTTTTTTGTCATCACATTTTTCTTGGTGGGATGGCTTCTTGTCCAGCATATTGTCAATGTCATATATTTGCAACATACTTTCTTTATACTAAATTATAAGATTTGGAATAAGATACTGCTAGACAACAAATATTACTGACACTGTCAATGCATGGTGAAAATGTGTTTACATTCTTCTCATGATTATTAGAAATAATCACTTTTATTTAAATTTGACATAAATTTATTGGTAGTATGCTTCTAACACAAAGTGTTTAGAGGCTAATGCACAGCCAAAAAAGAAATGTAAAAACTTACATGTCATAAATATTCTTGTTCATTGCATGTAACATCTATAATTTGGAACCATCTATATTGTATTTTAGAGAACCCTCTTTTTCTACTAAAGCGGGTTAAATGGCGATTTAATCCTTCCAATATTTAATGAATTGAGTAATATATTAAATGTTAAGGACAATAAGGTGATTAAATAATACTTCCACAGAGCTCATCAAAGTTCATTCTTGATAAGTGTTCTTCTATTCGATATCTTCCTTTCTTTTTTTATTTGGTGAAACACTATATACCTTTTTTATTTGGGTTTCAAATTGGCTTTTTAAATGTGTTTCTGATCTTAGGCCATTTTTTAGACTCTCACATCAGTTTGTGCATGTGGTTGTGGCTTAATAAGTATGATTTTGGTTGCATTGATTCTGCAGGGACTATACAAATCCGCACCTTCCTGTAAATCCTACTGCAATAGAGGGAATTATGCAGGTTTCTTCTTGGTTTTAGAACATTCTTTTTAATATGTATTATGCAGTATTGGGTATTTCTACGTAAGCGATAAGGCCAACATTGCTCTGACTTTATTTCCATCTCCAGCCTACTGTAGGTCCTGATGGAAAGAGGAAAGAGGTGGAGAGTAACGTGCTTCTTGCTTCAATTGAAAATATGCAGTATGCTGTCACTGTGGATGTTATTCACACGGTTAGGATTTATACCTTTCATGCCTTTTTAGTGCTCAGAGTACTAAGAGGATTTATAGATATCATGATCCTTTCTTATATGCTACAGGTGTTCTCTGCGTTTGGCACTGTCCAAAAAATTGCTATATTTGAGAAGAATGGCCAAACACAAGCATTAGTTCAATACCCTGGTATTTCCTCTTTCAATACGACTTTTTGATTTGTCACTGATCTTTGAGAATTCGACTGTGGCTGACTTGTGAGTTGTTATTTTCAGATCTCAATACTGCAGCAGTTGCCAGAGAAGCTCTAGAGGGACACTGCATATATGATGGTGGCTATTGTAAGCTTCATCTATCATACTCTCGTCATACTGATCTCAATGTAAAGGTATAAATATGAGTTTTTGAGTTAAAACCGTTCATGAGAATAAAAATAAGAAGGAAAATGTAAAGATATCTTTGGAGGAATAAGTGGATCTATTCTTGGTCAAAAAACGATTTGGTCCTTAAATGTATGCTTCTTGACACCTACTTTTCCATCTGATTATCTCAATGCATTACTAAAATATCTTTCCTGAGATTTTGATTGCTTGTATTTATTTTTACTTGCAGGCGTATAGCGACAAAAGTAGGGACTACACAATCCCAGATGCTAGTTTACTTGCAGCACAACAAGTTGCTGGTTACCCTCCTCCTCCAGGAGCTTGGCAGAATCCTCAGGCTGCTCCGATGTACCATGGCAATGAGTACAGTGGTGCAACTTCTGTGCAGGCCCAAGCTCCTCCAGGTCCTCCAGGACAATCCCCATCATGGGATCCAGCCATGCAGGGAGGCATATCAACGTTTGGTTCGTCTCCTAGCACCTTTCCTGGTCAACCATACCAAGCATCGTCTGGTCCTGTATATGCATCTGCAGCAATGCCAGTGGGTTCTTCGCCTATCCAATCAGGCCCAACTTCTTCGGGTATGGGTTCTAGGGGAATGTCTCAGCCAGGCGTTCCACCCAATGTGCGACCTGGTGGTGGTGCTTCATCTCCAGGGGTTCGGCCTCCTGGTGCCTCACCATCCTACTACGGCCAATAGGATGTAGTATTTCAAAGAATGCTGGGTCTTGCCGGTCTCATCTTTTGTGTTTTTTGGTCGGGAATGTGTCCGGACGTTAAACTTAAAACCCCGAATTCAGTTTGCAGTGTTGGAAACTCAGCACTGCCCCTGCTTTGATTGGAACCACCCCTTCTTGTGGTTTTAGTTTGAATAGGCCATATGTAT